GGTTTCAATGTGGCCGGTGGGCCTGGTCACCAAATACGGCGTCAGCAGTCCCATTGTGAAGAATGGCAAAATTGTTGGCTTCTACGATGGCTGGCTGGGTGGTCGAAAATATCCCGTCGACATGGCGGGCTTTGCGGTGAGCGTGAGATTTCTACACGAAAGACCCAAAGCGAAAATGCCCTTTAAAGCGGGCTATGAGGAGGATGGTTTTTTGAAAAGTCTGGCGCCATTTGAAAATGCCGAAATTGAGCTGCTGGCCAACAATTGTACAGAGGTGAGTGGGTGAGGGGAGGGGAGGGCAGAGGGATTACTACAAATTGTTAGAGTTAAGCTAATTTAGTTTCTTGGACTCCGGTCGTTTGTGGGACAACTCTGAGTATGAGTGATGTGAAATATATGAAATCACTCATACTGAACTACTGGGTGAGATGAAAAAACTGCAACCAACTTCAGACTGCTGTTATTTCTAAGCCCCATCGTCCAACAGATGGTCCTTGGAAAAAATATTCTTTTAAAATCCACGTTTATAGGTCCTTGGAAAAAATATTATTTAAAAATCCACGTTTATTGGTCCTTGGAAAAATATTCTTTAAAAATTTACGTTTATTGGTCCTTGAAAATAAATTAAATATTTTCTTGATATAAATTAAAATTTTTTATTTATATATTTTTTTTAAATTATTTTTTTTTTTCTTTTCAGATTCTAACATGGCACACGCAAACAAAAAAGAACAATGCTGCGGAAAAACTGAACATGACCAAATACGGTGATACCAATCTAGTGTTTATAGATAGAGCTCTTGTTAGGCCCTAAGGTAACGTTAAACAAATTTTCAAGATTAATTTAAGGACGATATCTTAAGATAACCAAACAACTATGAAAGACAACAACCAAAGATAGACAGTTTTTTTTTTTTTAAATGGAAACCAAAAATAGAACCACAAACCAAATCAAGAAACCAAATTAAAAAAAAAAAAAAAAAACAAAATAAAATAAATCATTTTATATAAAAAAAAGTGTGTATATAAAATTAAAAAAATAAAACAGAAACTACAAAGACAGTCCAAAAAAAGGCACAAAGTGTAAAGCTTTATAAAAAAATATATCCTCATGAAAAAAAAATATATAAATATGTAAATATTTTATTTTTAATTTTTTTTACATAAAAATAAAAAAAATATTTATATTTTATATAATAAAAATAAGTAATAGTTTCACAATATTTTTTTGTAAATATATAAATAAGATAAAAATACGAAATTAAAAAAAAAAAAACAAATACTTTATTAAATTAACTTTAAAATAAAATATTACACATAAAATGAAAAAAAAAATAAATAACTATTAGTTAGACTGTCAGGTATGATAAAGGTGAGAAAGAGAAAGAAATGGAAATTTGAAATACCCAAAATTAAACAATCATTTTTGTAACAAAACATAAAAACTAAATAAAAAAAATATTAAATATTTAATATTAATGTTTTTTAAATTATTTAATTTAATTTTTTAAGTTTTTTTTGTTTTCCAGAAAATCGTTTTTTTTTTTTTGCCAGAAAAATTTTAATTTAAATATAATTTATTTATAAATAGTTAATTTCAATATTTTTGACAAAATCTAAAAATTATTTTTAAATTAAAAAAATAAATCACCCAATTTTTTGAATTTAAAAAAATGCATATATTTGGAGTTATTTCCATAATTTCTATAAATAATAGTTAATTTCATTATCTTGACAAATTTTATAAATTATTTTTAAGTTAAAAAAATGTTTTCCACCCAAAATTGTTTTAATATTTTTTCACAAAATTGTTATTTATATGATTTTTATATAACAAAAATTCTTGAAAGACACAAAAATAATTTAAAAAAAAAATATGTAAAATTAAACAGATTCGCTTAAATATTTGAATTTTAATATAATTTATACATATAATAGTTAATTTCAAAATTTCGACAAAGTTATTTTTAAATTAAAAAGTTCTTTCTATTTAATTTAAAAATAATTTTCACCCAAAATTTTTACATGTTCTTTTTTTTTTTTTTTTTTTGAAATGATTTCACAAAATTTTTTATTATAAAAATTTTTTAGCAACAAAAATTCTAGAAAGATCACAAAAAATGTTGCCGAAAAAAATTAAACAAAAATGATTAAAAATTTAAACATTTCTTTTAAATTTTTTCTATTAAATTAGTTAACTTTTTCTTCAAATTTTGACAAAATTTACTAATTATTTTGAATTCCAAAATAAAATTGAATTTAACTCCAATGTTATTTTTTTTAATAAAAAAGTAACAAAATTTTAAATTCTTCTTTTACAAAAATATATAAATTATTTTATATAAGGAATAGAGAACATTTTAAATTTAGTTTTATATAAAATAATTCCCAACTAAGAAAAATACAAGTTTTTAATTTCTAAAAAATTTGGAAATTGTTATAAAAACATTTCTAGCCATAAAATCCCAAAATTTAAAAATGATTAAAAAATTTAAACATTTCTTTAAATTTTTTCTATTAAATTTGTTAACTTTTTCTTCAAATTTTGACAAAATTTACTAATTATTTTGAATTTAAAAAAAAAGAATGAATTTTATTCCAACTAAATTTTAATGTTATTTTTTAATAAAAAAAATAACAAAATTTTAATTTCTTCTTTTACAAAAATATATACATTTTTTAAATAAGGAATAGAGAAAATTTTAAATTTATTTTTTTTTTTAAATAGTTCATAATTTAGAAAAATGATTTTTACAAAATTTAGATTTTTCCAAATTTGGAAATTTTTATAAAAATAATTCTTACCATAAAATCCCAAAATTTAAAAATAATTTAAAAAATTTATTTTGATTTTTTTATTAAATTTGTTAACTTTTTCTTCAAATGTTGGCACATTTTACTAATTATTTTGAATTAAAAAAAATTGAATTTTCTTCCAACTAAATTTTGATGTTATTTTTTTAATAAAAAAAGTAACAACATTTTAAATTCTTCTTTTACAAAAAATATAAATTTTTTAAATAAAGAATAGAAAAAATTTTAAATTCAGTTTTTTTATAAAATAGTTCCTAATTTAGAAAAATGATTTTTACAACATTTTGATTTTTAAAAAATTTGGAAATTTAAAAAAAAATTTATAACCATAATAACCCAAAATTCAATAATGATTAAACAATTTAAACTTTTTTTAATTTTTTCTATTAATTTTTAATTTTTTTCTTCAAATTTTGACAAAATTTGAATTTTTTTAATTGATTTCAATTCCAACTTAATTTGATGTTTTTTTTAATAAAAAATTAACAAAAATGTAATTTCTTCTTTTACAGAAATATATATTTTTTTAAATAGGAAATATAGAAAATTTAATTTTTTGTTGTTTTGTAAAAAAAAAAAATATTTAAAAAAATATTTTTACCAGCATTGAATATATTTTTTAATAAAAATTATTTTTACCGTAATGTTCCAAAGTCTAATAAGATTAATAAATTCAAAATTGTTTTTCTATTCAAATGTTTTATTAATTTTTCTTTAAAAATAGTTCCTTTATTTTTTAATTTTTTTAATTCCTATTTTTTATTTATTTTTTGTTTCTAATTTTTAAAACAAATTCCTTTTTGTAATTTTTTTATTTATTTCCCCAAAATTTAATAATTATTATTGAATCCAAAAGTATTTATTTGTTTAGTTTTTTCTTTCTGTTGTTTGACTTAAATATTTTATGATTTTTTTACCCTTTTTTAATTAATATTTTTTATATAATATTCCTTTAGCATATTTTTTTCTCAAATCATTTATTCAAATTTAAAGAAATGGGGAAATATATTTCTACTCAAAATTCAATTTGTTTTTATGTTCCAATTTTTTACATTTTCTATAAATTTCGAATTATGTATAAATTTCGAAATTTAAAAAGTTAACTTCTACTATTAAAAAGTCAATTTTCAAATCAATTTTTTGCTACCTATCAAGAATTTTTTCAATTAAAAAAAAAAAAAAACAAAAATAATAAAATATGTCCCTACCCAAATTACTTTTTTTCTATTTTCTAATTTTTCAGTTTTAAGTTAAATTTTATATTATTTTTTTAATTCTAAATTAAATATTAAAAAATCCAACTATTGAAAATAGTGAAATATGTCTCTACACATTTTTTTTTCAATTTTTTTTCTATAATGAAAATTATTGAATTTCTTCCAATCATATTTCATAATTGAATATCGAATCTATTTTCACTTTCTATTTCTGGTTTTGTTTCCCATCAAAATGTATAAAACCCGGTTATATTTCATATTTAAATTAGATTGCCATGTGCAATTGTCATGCGCCTCAAAGTATGCTTTAGAAATTGAAAATTCCCTTTCTATTGCTTTGGGTGTCATGAGAATGCAGAAGAATTTTGTTAATTTATTTTAAACTATTTGAAAGAAAATTATTTTAAATTACTTTTTATATTATATATAATAAAATTTCATACTTTTTAAAAATGAATTTTAAAATAAAAAATATATGGCGCTCTCTAGAAATTTTATTTAAAAAGACCCCCCCAAAATCATATCAATTTGTTTTTCAAAAACTTGTTTAGCTTTTATTAACACAAAATCAAGCACAAATAACCAACATTTGATTTTTGTTGGAATTGTGATAGATTTATTTACATATTTCAAATACATGACAAATATTTTTAAAACTGTTTTGTTAGTGAAAAAATATACCTTCAAAAATGTAATATTTTATTTTTAAAAATATATGTATACAATTTTTAAATAAAAAACTATGTAGAGTGCTCAAATCTCGAAGTTTATTGTAATAATATTAATTTTAATTTAAGTTATTTTTTGTACTTAAGACAGAATACCTTTTAGTTTGAAAATTGAAAATTGTTTTATAAAACTATTTTTTAAAATAAGTTTTAATTAAATAATTTAATTAAAATATATTTTAAGTTAACATTTCTATAGTTTTTAATTAAACTAAAATTAAATCTGATTTAAGTCTGAATTGAAAAAATAAATATTTAAAAAAAACACGCATAAAAATTAAAATTGTGAATAATGAATAAAATTAAATTTAAATCTAATAACAATTTTCAAACAGAATGTATAACATTAATAAAAGTAATTCTAAAAAATATAATGAAAAAACAACAACAACAACAACTTCCTAAATAAATACATTTTTTTGAGAAAAAAAATAATATTTTTCTTTTCATATTCAAATACGGGAAAGAAAAGGTAAATGAAATATTGCCACTATACCCCATGTTGTAACCAACATTTTACCGGCAAAACTACTAGCTACATAAATATTGCTTTCTAGGATCCACAATGAAATTGAATGTAGATTATTTCCCCCTTTGACAACAATCCCCAAAAATGGACGAAAATGGTAAAATTTGGGCCTTTTTGGAAAATATCCAAAAATAGCCCCAAAAGCTCTAAAACAAATGTTGTAACCAATTTTTTACCGACAAAACTGCTAGCTACATAAATACTGTATTCTAGAGCCCATAATAAAATTGAATGAAGACTATTTTCTCCATTGACAACAACCCCGAAAATTGGACGGAAATGGGAAATTTTGGGCTTAATTGAAAAATTCGCCAAAATAGCCCCAAAAACTCTAAAACAAATGTTGTAACCAACATTTTACCAACAGAACTTCTAGCAACATAAATATTCTATTCTAGGACCCATAATGAAATTGAATGTAGATTATTCCCTCTTTTAACAAAAATCCCCAAAAGTGAACAGAAATGGGAAATTTTGGGCTTAATTGGAAAATTTCAAAAAAATAGCCCAAAAAACTCTAAAACAAAATTTCTGAATTATTTACTCATATTGAACGTCCAATTTCTAGCATATAACATATTTATTACAATTTATCTTCTATGGAGACCCATAGTGAAATTTGCTTTAGAACAATTCTTCCTTTGTCATCAAATTCCTAGAGTGGAAAATTATCGTCGATTTTTACCTAATTGTAAAATACCTAAAAATAACATTAAAAAGCACATTAATATATTTTAATTTACATGCTCACATTGCAAGCAAATTTCTAATTAATGTTGTATATATAACAATTTCTCATATTTGGAAACCTATAGTGAAATTAGATAAAGAACGTTTTCTTCTTTGACATCAAGTCCGTGAAGTGGAGAATAATGGAAGATATAGGCCTAATTGCAAAGTTCCTGAAAATAAGCAAAAAATAACATTAACATGTACATATATCCACATTGAAGAGAACAAATCTAGTCCATACAACAATTTATGTTCTATAGAGACTTATAATCGTATTTGATGTGAACAATTTTCTCGAACATCACCGCACCCCTGCGAAAATTTGATTAAAATCCAATATATATTAAAAATAGCATCATTAAATCCCCTAAGAAATTTCTGAATGCCATTTTCACGATGATCCATAATATCTACAGATTTCTTGTGTTCGTTGACTCATAGTGAAATTTGGTTTAGAATCATTTCTTCTTTGATGTCGTACCCCAAAATTGTGGTTTTGTGGCTAATTTTGGCAGTATATCGAACACGCGTTAAAATTACACCACATAATCCTTAATTTTATATATTAAATTTGATATTGAATTTTTCGCGATGATATATAGTATATACAGATTTTATCTGTTTGGTGACCCATACTCAAATTTTGTGTAAAACAATTTCTCCATTGGCATCACTCATGGCACATAATCGAGAACAGATTAAAATTACTTCATAAATATTTAGTTTTTGTATATATCACATTAAAAACGGGATTTTCGTGACATATAACATGTCGAGAGACTTCCAATTTTAGCTTACTCCTAGAAAACTTATTGCAGAACATTTCTTCCATTGGCATCATATCCCAAAAATGTTGTATTCAGGCTATATTTAATCATATTCAAATAAAATCGAAGGAAAAATGTCAAAAAAAGAGTAGTACTGCCTTTGAGCGGAAATTTCCGTGGTACATATCCTGTCCCGAGACTTCCTTTTTTCACAGGCCCATAGTAAATTCGATGTAGGAAATTTCTTCCGTTGACAAGTTATCCAAAAAATGTCGTGGACAGGCTCTTTCAAATCAATTCCCAAAATCAAAAAAAAATCCAAAAAATAAAAAATATATTTGACGCCTTCGAAAAATTATCTACCGGCAACGAGTTCAGCAAAATTCAAAATTAGGTCCGGCTTTGTTATATGTTTTAAGCCCAAACATTTTTCAATTTCTTTAGTTATGAAACGGACGTAAATCTTTCGGTCTCTTAATTTGCCGTTAAGAAAACAATTAGGCGCGGAAAATTCTAACAATTCAACCAGTTTGGGATGGATAATACCAGAAAATGTTGGAATATTTCCCAATTTGTGGCTCCCGTAAAAGCCGGCTGTCATTGCTGAAGAAAAAATTGAATATTCAAAATTTTCAAATAATTGTTGGACTCTTGCAAAAAAATGCCATAAAATGTAACAAAATCAAGAATGATTTAACAAAAAATGATGAAAATGGAATAATACTGCGGATTTGGGGTAAGAAGGACGACATTCGCGGACAGAATAAGGAAACAAAAAATTATTGAAAATTGAGGCAGCAGTCATTGTCAAATGGAGAAAAATAAGTTTTTTTTTGAGAACCGCAAAATATCACACAACAGTATGGGCTAAAGCACCAATTAGCTGCCCAAGATGTTGCCCTTCACAGAAATCACACCAGAACACAACAAAATTGATTTAAAAAAATCATTAAATATGACAAAATGAAGATGTCAAATCACAGAAAATTTCAAGGTAATTGGCAAACCAAATCAAATCTGTCTCTCCCGCATTGGAGAAGTTGAAAGAAAAAAAAACATTTTCAGTTAGAAAAGGTTTGATTTTGACAAATTCAGAAATCGCAACAATTCAAATGACATTGCGTCTGGTCCCGTTGAACATTGCCCATTTAGGGCACTTATTGATTTCTTTTGTTTAATGGCCAATAGTGGAGTTTGTTCCTAGTAGATTTTGGCTCCAGTTCACGTTCATATAATCCCAAACGTCAATAATTGTAACCAATTAAAATGAAATTAATGAAGTTTCATGATGATCCATCATATATACAGATTTTATTAGTTCGCTGACCCATGGTAAAATGTTATATAGAATCATTTATCTATTGACATCATCTCCCAAAAATTTGGTTTCATTTGGTTTTCGGTAGTTTATTAAAAAATATGAAAAAATAGCCCTATATGTAAACTTTAAATTGGTTAGTGCAATTTTTACGATGATCCATGCTATCTATAGATTTCTTTTGCTCGCTGACCCATAGTGAAATTTAGTGTAGAATCATTTCCCAAAAAAAAATCGTACCCCAAAATGGTGGTTTTGCGTGTCATTTTGTCACTTTATTGAACACATGTTAAAATAATACAAAAATTCTTTTATGTATAAAATTTGTTATTGCATTTTTGACGATAATATATCGAATGTAATGATTTTATTTGTTTGCTGACCCATACTAAAATTTGGTACAGAAGAATTTCTCCATTAGCATCACTGGTCGAAAACGTGGCTTTACTGGTCATTTTGTCACTTAATCAAGAACGGAAGAAAATTATACCAGAATTATTTAGTTTTTGCAAATATCATATTAAAAGCGGGATTTTCGTAATATATACCATGTCGAGACACTTCTAATTTTCTTTTACCCGTAGAGAATTTGATGTAGAAAATTTCTTTCATTGGCATCATATCCCAAAAATGTGGTATTGATGCAATATTGACTTCAATCCAAACAAAATCGAAGGACAAAATAGCAAAAAAAAAAGAATTACTGACATTGAGCGCTAATTTTCTTGGTATACATCCTTTCTAGAGTCTTCCTATTTTCACAGGCCCATAGAAAATTCGTTGACAAGATATCCAAAAAATGTCGTTGACAGGCAGTTTTGAATAAATTCCAAAAATCTAAAAAATTAAATAATAAATTTAACGCCTTCGAAAAATTATCAACCGGCAACGAAGTTAGCAAATTTCAAATTTAGGTCCGGCTTATTTATTTTAAGCCCAAACATTTTTCAATTTCTTTAGCTATGAAACGGACGTAATTCTTTCGGTCTCTTGATTTGCCGTTAAGAAAACAATTAGGCGCGGAAAATTTTAACAATTCCATCAGTATAGGATGGGCAATGGTAGAAAACTATGAAATATTTCCCGATTTGCGGTTCCCGTAAATGGTGGCGGTCAATGGCTGTCATTGCTGAGGAAAAAAATTAATGAATATAGAATTCAAATAATTTTTGGAATTATACAAAAAATGCTGGAATATAACAGATTTGGAGCCTGAAGGACGACAATGTTGGAGAAAAGAAGCAAATACCAACTAATTTTGTGAACATTGGATATTGAGGAATCAGTCATGGTCAGATGGAAAAGAACAAGAATTTTGCTTGAAAAATGAAGGCTTCAATTGAAAGAAAATTTTTAGGCAAATGATTACCCAAATCAAGATGTGAATTTCCTGTTAACTTCGGATATCAAGGCTGTCTTTCCCGCATGGGAGAAGTTGATAGGAAAATATTTTAAGTTAACAAAAATGCGATTTTGACCTATAGTGGAATTTCCTGAAGAGGATTTTCTCCATTGCCGCCAATCTTCCTACTGGATCCATATTCGTAGATTTAGTTCCATATTCACGTTCGTATAAACCCAAACGTCAATAATTATATCAATTGGAAATGTTTAAAATTTGTTATCTTCAGTTTGCTGCCCAATAATTAAATTTTATAAAGAATCATTTGTCCATTGAAACCATTCCCCAAAAATGTGGTAATTTTGGATGATCATCGAACACATGTGATGATAACACAACATAATCCCTTATTTTATATATTCAATTTGTTATTGATTTTTTCACGATGACATATCGTATATACAGATTTTATTTATATGGTGACCCATACTCAAATTTTGTGTAAAACAATTTCTCCATTGGTATCACTTGTCCAAAATGTAGCTTTAGGGGTAATTTTGGCACTTAATCGAGAGCGGTATTTTCGTGACATATATCAAGTCGAGAGACATCTAATTTTTACTTACCCATAGAAAATTTAATGTAGAACATTTCTTCCATTGGCATCATATCCCAAAAATTTGGTATTCAGGCTATTTTGAATCAAATCCAAAAAGTCGAAGGATGCAATTACAAAAAAGTATTACTGACTTTGAGCGGTAATTTTCGTGGTATATATCTTGTCTGGATATTTCCTATTTTCACCTACCCATAGCAAATTTGATGTAGGAAATTTCTTCCATTGGCTAGACATCCAAACAATGTCGTTGTCAGGCTGTTTTTTTTTTTTTTTTTTTTTTTTAATCAATTCCAAAAATCAAAAAATCCAAAAATCAAAAAAAAAAAATCCAAAAAATTAAAAAATAAATTTAACGCCTTCGAAAAATATTCTACCGGCAATGAAGTTAGCAAAATTCAAAATTAGCTCCGGCTTTGTTATTTATTTTGGGACCAAACATTTTTCAATTTCTTTAGCTATGAAACGGGACGGAAATCTTTCGGTCTCTTTATTTGCCGTTAAGAAGACAATTTGGCGCGGAAAATTGTAACAATTCAATCAGTACAGGATGGGCAATGGTAGAAAACTATGAAATATTTCCCGATTTGTGGCTCCCGTAAAAGCTGGCTGTAAATGGCTGTCATTGCCGAAGAAAAATATTGAAAAAATAAGATTTTCAAATAATTGTTGTTGGACTCATACAAAACAGATGCCATCAAATGTAACAAAATCAAGAATGATTTAACAAAATGGTGATAATGGAGTAATACTGCGGATTTGGGGTAAGAAGGATGACATTCGCGGACAAAATAAGGAAACAAAAAAAATCATTGGAAATAGAGGCAGCAGTCATTGTCAAATGGAGAAAAATAATTTTTTTTTTTTTTTTTTTTTTTTGAGAACGGCAAAACATCACACAACAGAAGGGGCTAAAGCGCCAATTAGCTGCCCAAGTTGTTGCCCTTCACAGAAATGACAACAAATTTGATTTAGAAATAATAATTTAATATTGACAAAATGGAGATGTCAAATCAGAGAAAAGTTCAGGGCAAATGGTGACCCAAATCAAATCTGTCTCTTCCACATTGGAGAAGTTGAAAGGAAAACATTTTAAGTTAGAGAAGGTTCGATTTTGACAAATTCAGAAATCCCAAAATTCAAAATGTTTTAGTGGAGTTTTCACGAAGATCCACGATATCTACAGATTTGATCACAATTTGCCTTGAACTTTTCTTTGATTTCACATCTCCATTTTTTCAATATTTAATGATTATTTCTAAAACAAATTTGTTGTATTCTGGTGTCATTTCTGTGAAGGATAACAGCTTGGGTAGCTAATTGGTGCTTTAGCCCATTCTGTTGTGTCATATTTTGCCGTTCTCTAAAAAACTTATTTTTTTTTTTTATTTGACAATGACTGTTGATTCAATTTCCAATAATTTTTTATTTGCTTATTTAGTCCGCGAATGTCATCCTTCATGCCACAAATACGCAGTATTCCTCCATTACCAACGTTTTTGTTAAATCATTCTTGATCTTTTTACATTTTATATCATTTGTTTTGTATGATTCCCACAATTGTTTGAAAATTTCATTCAATCAATATTTTCCGTCGGCAATGACAACCATTTACAGCCAGCTTTTACGGGAATCACAAATCGCGAAATATTTCATAATTTTCTAGCATTGCCCATCCTATACCGATTGAATTGTTAAAATTTTCCGCGCCTAATTGTTTTTTTAACGGAAAATTAAGAGACCGAAAGATTTAGATCCGTTTCATAGCTAAAGAAATTGAAAAATGTTTGGGCTCAAAATAAATAACAAAGCCGGACCTAAGTTTGAAATTTGCTAACTTTGATGCCGGTTGATAATTTTTCGAAGGCGTTAAATTTATTTTTTCATTATTGTATTTTGTTTTTTTTTTTTTGATTTTTGGAATTTATTCAAAGCAGACTGACAACGAAATTTTTTGGATATTGTGTCAACGGAAAAACATTCCTACATCAAATTTCCTATGGGCCTGTGAAAAAAGGAAGTCTCTGGACAGGATATATACCTCGAAAATTAGCGCTCCAGATCAGTAATTCTTTTTCTTGCAATTTTTTTCTTAAATTTTATTTGGATTTAATTCATTATAGCCTGAATACCAACTTTTTGGTATGGTTTTTGGTTGATGCAATGAAAGAAATTTTCTACATCAAATTCTCTATGGATATGTGAAAATTGGAAGTCTCTCGACGTGATATAAATAACGAAAATCCCGTTTTTTAATGTGATATATACAAAAACTAAATATTTATGAAGTAATTTTCGTTTGTTCTTGATTACGTGCCAAAACGACCCCTAAAACCACATTATTGACCAGTGATGCCAATGGAGAAATTGTTCTGCACCGAATTTTAGTATGGGTCACCAAACAAATAGAAGCTTTAAATACGTTAAAATTCGTTAAAATTTCAATAACTAATTTAATATATAAACTAATAAGGATTATGTGGTGATATTTAAACATTTGTTAAATAAACTGCTAAAATTACACACAAAACCACAATTTTGGGGTACGACGTCAATGGAGAAATGATTCTAAACCAAATTTCACTATGAGTCAATGAACAAAAGAAATCTGTAGATATGATGGTTTATCGTGAAAATTGCACTAACCAATTTAAAATTTACATATTGGGCTATTTCCATGATTTTTAATAAACCACCGAAATGGTTATCGAAACCACATTTTTGGTGAAGGGTGTCAAGGGATAAATGATTCTATATAAAATTTTAACGTGGGTCAGGGAACAACAAAAGTCTGTATATATCACGGATCATAGTGAAAATGGCACTAACAAATTTATAAATGTTAAATGGTTGTAATTATTTAAGTTTGGGTTTATATAAACATAAACATTAAATTGTAACCAAAAACTACCATTATGGTTCCAGTTAGAGGGTTGGCATCCATGGAGAAAATCATCAGCAAATTCCACTGTAGGTCATCGAACAAAATGAATTGTGAGTGTCCCAATGGTAGCCGATCCAATGCCATTGGAACTTTGTCAATATCAATGCTTTTCTATCTTAGAATGGCTGTTCTTCAACTTCTTCCATGCGGGAAAGACAGCCCTGATAGCCAAAGTTAATAAGGTATTCATATCCTGATTTCGGTCACTATTTGCCTTGAAATTTTCTTTGAACTTACGTCTCCATTTGGCAATATTCAATGAATCTTCTTAGATTGAATTTATTGTGTTCTCGTAGCCTTTCTGTAAAGTCGTCATCCTTGTGAAGCTAATTTGAGCTTACTTCCATTATCCTGTGTCATATGGCAATGGCATATTCCTCAATTTCCGATGATTTTTTGTTTGCTTATTTTGTCCAAGAATGTCATCCTTCTTACCCCAAATCCGCAGTATTCCTCCATTATCACCATTTTTGTTAAATCAGTCTTGATTTTTTTACATTTTATGGCATCTGTTATGCATGATTCCAAAAATTGTTTGAAAATTTTATATATTCAATTTTTTCTTCCGCAATGACAGCCATTGACAGCCAGCTTATACGAGAGCCACAAATCGCGAAATATTCCATGATTTTGTGGCATTGCCCATCCCATACTGATTGAATTGCTAAAATTTTCCGTGCCTAATCGTTTCCTTAACGGCAAATCAAGAGACCGAAAGAATTGCGTCCGTTTCATAGCTAAAGAAATTGAAAAATGTTTGGGCTCAAAATAAATAACAAAGCCGGACCTAAATTTGATATTTGTTAAATTCGATGCCGGTTGATAATTTTATGAAGGCGTTATTTTTTTGATTTTTTTTTTTTTGATTTTTGAAATTGAATCAAAATAACCGAAAATCACACTTTTGGGATTTGGAGTCAAAGAAAGAAAATTTCTGGATCAAAATTTCTATGGGCCGGCGAAAAAATGAAGTCTCCAGAAGGCTGCAAACGCGGAAATGAAAATTTGAAGAAAATAATAGCTCTTTTTTTCAATTGTTTCCTTGAATTTTATTTGAATTTGATTCAAAATAGCCTGACCACCACATTGTTGGCATATGATATCAATGAAAGAAATTTTCTACATCAAATTTTCTATGGGTGAGTGAAAATTGGAGGACTCTAGACATGATATATACCTCGAAAAACCGCTTTTTCAATGTCACATATATAAAAACTAGTTATTTATGTTGTTATTTTCGTCTGTTCTCGATTAAGAGCCAAAATGACCCCTAAGGTCACATTTTTGGCCAATTCCGTCAATGGAGAAATTGTTCTACACAAAATTTTACTATGGGTAACCAAACATATAAAATCCGTATATGTAATGGAATATCATGAAAAAGTCGTAAACAAATTTAAAAGTGTAAAATTAAGGAAAATGCCAGGTTATTGGAACACGTTTTCGATAATCTGCCAAAAAGACCCATTAGACCAACTTTTTGGCGTATGATGTCAATGGAGAAAAGAATCTATGCAAAATTCAACTATGGGTCACAAAAGGAAAGAAAGTTGTAGACATGATATATCATGATCAAATCTCACTAACAAATTTTAAATTAAAAAATTTGGTGTATTTTTCCATAGTTTCAAGAAACTGTCGAAATGACTATTGAAACTGCATTTTTTGGGGATGACATCAATGGGGAAATTATTCTACACAAAATTTCACTAAAGGTTACCGAACAAAAGAAATCAGTGGGTACTGTAAATCGTCTTCATAATGTCACAAACAAATTTAAAATTTAGGAGTTCTGCTTCCCTACCTTTTTTATTAGTTTTAATACAGACGACCAAATTTTTAGTAAAATAAGATATTCTGTATTTAGTGCTTTTGAAGCATAGGATTTATTCTGAGAATATTGTTCTTTTGATTTTTATAAAGTAATGAAAATCTAGTCTTTGGTTGATCCCGCCTAAAAAAAGCTCAAAGCAAATAAAGCATTAATATAATGTACTCCTCTCTCTCTCTCTCTCACTTCTTCTCTCCATCAATTTGCCACATCCGCTCCACTCCTCTACTGTTGAGTGCTAAACAAATAGCTCAATGTCGATGGTTGGGCATGAAAACGCACCTGGGCCTCTTCCCATTTGGTGTGAATCAATTTCTGTAACGGCGTATTCACGGCCAATTCCTCCTTAATTTCCTCCTTATCATCTTTGGGTTTACCCGACAGCGAAGTGGTCTCTGTTGTAGACATTTGCCGTTCCAACATACCCGTTGCCTGATCATTATATGATCGGTTATCGATGGTCATGAGTATTTCGCGACCCGAACAGCTATAATAGTAGAGGTCGAAACGGGATTCGGCATGATAATTCCTTAGTAAATCTGGATTGCGATTGAACATAACACCAAAATGGCCGGCGCACAGGGTTATCCATATGGGGTAGTTGGGTGTTTTGAGACGGGAGCCCGGCTGGCGGGCCACAAGGTTACTCTGAAATGGGAAGTTAGAATTAAAACAATATTTCTTTATTTGTTAAGCCTTTGTTATACTTGACCACTTTCACCTTCCCAGAGCATTAAGCCAATGGCACAGCGATTGAGGACACCATATTGGGGAACAGCCTTCAAAAATAAAAATGTTTTTGGGGTAAATAAAAATAAAATAGTTAATAAATCATAAAACGTTTTTTATGATTGAATTTATCTTATGGAACTATGGGAACTTTCGGTAGTGGGCATAAACTCCAATCCTAAAATTTGACCCCATTAGAAACAGATGAAAACATGGAAGAGAATCCTTAACGAAACTTTAAATAAAGATAGGTTATTAGAAAATGTTCACTTATGGGCATTTTTGATGGAAGTGACCAAAGCTTAGGCTTCACTGGTTCACCTCAAAAAATAAAAAAAATGAGAAAAAAATATCCATTCATTTGAGGTTTTGAAAGGAAGTGCCCTCTACAGAAAGTTTCCACTGCTTCACGCCTAGAAACTAGAGACAAAATATCCGCCCATGTGAGGTTTTGAAAAAAAGTGCCCTCAATTGAGAGTTTCCAATAATTCAACTCTAAAAAACTTAGGGCAAATTGTCACCCATGTTAGGCTTTGAAATGAAGTCTCCACACCTGAGAGTTTCCACTGTTCTCATTATCTACTCACATAGCTATTTTCATCGCCCACATTTACCACCCCATTGTGTATGTAGGGTGTGGCCCTTCCCGTCAACAGCAAGGTTACAATCATCAATGAGCCCTCCTCATTGTTGCTCATGGTCAGCGGTACGACCTTGGTGGAATCCAAGTCACTGCGAACTCTGAAATTAAAAAAGAGAGAGTTAGAAAAGATTTTATATAAAATTGTTTTAAATCAATTTTCCACTTACCGTCCCATGGTGCGTGTCAATACGGCACTGTACAAGAAGAGCAACGTTCCTGGAGAAGCTTCTTCGGTGAACTTCATGGGACAAGTAAAGAATGAAAAAAGCAATAAAAAATATAAAAAGCAAATTTGGTATAAAAAACTACTCTCGATATTTGAGTATTGTTATATTGACCTCAATACCATTCTAAATATTCCAGCTACAGACTTTTGTTTTGGAGAAGGTCATAGTGAAATTCGATGTAGAACATTTTTGTCATTGACATCAAGTGCCAAAATCTAAGTGTTGGGGGTTTAGTCGGTCAATTTATAAATATAGCCCAAAAATTTTCTTATTTTTATACCCAATTATTTATTGAAATTTACTCGATATATATTAGACCTACAGATTTCTTTTGTTCTACGACTAATCGTGAAATTTGGCATAGAATATATCTTTCTTTAACATCGCATCACAAAAGTGGATATTTGAGCTTCAAACTGCTGTCGGATTGAAAATAGTACAAAATTGACACAAAAATTACTACCAAATTTGAAACCACATTTTTCATGAAATTGTTTTGTCTACACACTTCCAATTTTTGGGGTCCGATAGTAAAATTTTGTGCAGAATATTTCTTCCCCTGACATAATATCCAAAAAATTAAGAATTAAGGCCATAATTGCTCTAAATGCAAAAGAAGTGCAAAATAGTCCTTAAAATAATCATCATAATTTCTCTACCAAAATGATTGCGGATTTTATGTTGGTATAAATTACAGCTACAAATTTCTTTTGGTTGGAGACCCATAGTGAAATTTCATGGAGAATATTTCTTCCTTTGACATCTTGTCTCTAAAGTAAAGGATTAAGACCGAAATTCGAGGGAGTCGAAAATTCACAATTTTTTCGAAAAAATAGTGATTTTTTTTTAAAAACCCAAAATTGTTTTGAAATTTACATGATATATAGTGTACCTACAGATTTCTTTTATTCTGGGACAATTAGTGAAATTTCGAGTAGACTATATCTCTCTTTAACATCACACCCCAAAAATTAATAATTGTGCTTGAAAATGCAGTAGAGTCGGAAAGAGAGAAAATCTACTCAAAAAGTTGCATTATTTATTATATAATCACATTTTGGATCTGCATATTCCTTAAATTGTTTCGAACTACACATCTTTTGGTCTGGGACTAATAGTGAAATTTGGTGTAGAATATATAACTCTTTAACATCACATTCTAAAAATTGAGATTTAGGCTTGAAAATACAAAAGAGTCAAAGAGAGAGAAATTGGACCTAAAAAGTAGCATTCTTCATTTTACTACAAAATTTGTACCCATATTTTTCTTGAAATTGTCCAATATGGAAACTATTTTTTGTTTGGAAGCTAATAGTAAAATTTTGTGCAGAATATTTCTTCCCTTGGTACTATTTCGAAAAAATGCAGAATTATGGATGTAATTACCCTAAAGTCAAAAAAGTTCAAAATTAGCCTAAAATAATCTTCATTTCATCAAAGATATTTACCGATTTTATGGTGGTATATATAAAACCTACAAATGTCTTTTTGCTGCAGACCCATAGTGAAATTTCATGGAGAGTATATCTTCCTTTACAATCACATCCCAAAAATTAAGAATTGTGCTTCAAAATGTCGATTAATCGACAAGAGAGACTCTACCCAAAAAAGTGGCATTTTCCAGCAAATAACCAAATTTTGAACCGATATTTCTCATGAACTTGTTCAAACTACAAACTATTTTTATTTGAGAGTTCATAGTGAAATTTTGTATAGAATATTTCTTCCTTTGGTAATGTCGAAAAAATGCAGAATTATGGACATAATTATCCAAAAGTCAAAAAAGTCCAAAATTAGTCTAACTTAATATTCTTTATAAACCAAAATATTTATCAATTTTACGGTAGTATATACTAAAGCTACAAATTTCTTTTGGTTGGACACCCATAGTGAAATTTCATGAGGAATATATCTTCCATTGACAATATATCACTAAATTGAAGGATTATGGCCGAAATTCCAGGAAATCGAAAATGATCACATTTTTAAAAAAGGTATTTTATTTTTAATTCTTAAAATTTCTTCGAGATCTAACTGGGTGTCAATGGAGAAAGTGTTCCACATAGGTCAGCAGGCAAATGATATGTGTAGATGTACACACCACGGAATTTTAAACGTCATCATGGTTATATAAACAGAAAATTTATTTTTTGTAAAAATTTCGGACTGTCTTCAATTTTTTGCCAAAAAGCCTGGTATAACACAAGTTTTGGAGTATGGTATCAAAGAAGGAAATAATCTACACGAAATTTAATTTAATTATGGCTCGCCGAACAAAAGAAAGCTGTAGAAACTAAATATCCACACGAAATTCTAAAATCATTTTAGGTGTACACAAGAAATGTAATTTTTTAGTAAATTCTCTTTTTTCTCCAAATCGGGTCCAAAATGGCACTCAAATTGTCATTTTAGGGATATGATGCCAAAGGAGAACATGTTCCTCATCAAATTTCACTATAAGTCACCGAACAATTGGAAGTGATTGAGATAATATTTCCAATAGAAATGGCTGTATCAATTTAGTAGGCGAATAACAAAAATTGTTTTTTTTTTGAAAAAATCGTCTCGGTACAAAAAGGACCCATAAAACTCCAATTTCTGGGAATGATGTCAAGGGAAAAATTGTTCCACATCGAATTTCACTATGAGTCTCCTAATACGGGATACCTGTAAAAATAATACATTGCGTTTTAATTTTACTAACAAATCGTTAGCATACCCATGAAGGAACTATTGTCTTAAATTAGATTTGGTATTATTTTCGATCTTTTGCTAAAAAGCCTGGTATAACCCATGTTTGGAAGTGTGGTGTCAAAGAAGAAAATATTCTACGCTAATTTCTTTATGGGTCACGGAACAAAATAACTCAATAGAAACTAAATATCCACACGAAATCTCAAAATCACTTTAGGTGTACACAAGAAATAAAATTTTTTAGTAAATTCTCTTTTTTCTCCCAATCGGGTCCAAAATGGCCCTCAAATTGTCATTGTAGGGAAATGATGTCAAAGGAGAACATGTACCTCATCAAATTTCACTATGAGTCACCGAACAATTGGAAGTGATTGAGATAGTATTTCCAACAGAAATGGCTATATCAATTGGAAGTCAGGTAACAAAAAATGCATTTTTGAGGAAAATCGTCTCGTTGCCAAAATGACACATTTAATCGCATTTTCAGGGAAAGTTGTCAAAGGAAAAATTGTTCTACATCAAATTTCACACTAAGTCTCTGAATACGAAATACCTGTAAAAATTATACATTTCGTTTAAATTTCGAGAACAAATTGTTAACAGACTCATGAAGGAAGTATAGGCTTAAATTAGATTTCGTATTATTTTCGATTTGTTGCCAAAAAGCCTTGTATAACCCATGTTTTGGAGTATGGTGTCAATGGAGAAAATATTCTGCACCCAATTTCACTATGGGTCACCGAACAAAAGAAAGCTGTAGAAGCTAAATATGCCCTCGAAATCTCAAAATCATTTTAGGTGTACCCAAGATATTTAACTTAAAATAAAATATCTTTTTTCTTCGAGTCGGCCTCAAAATGGCCTCAAATCGTCATGTTAGGGGTGTGATGTTAATGGAAAACATGTTCCTCATCAAATTTCACTAAAGGTCACAGAACAACTATAAACAATTGGGATGATTTTGCCTTTTGAAATGTCTATATCAATTCGGTGGCCAAGTAACAAAAAATGTATTTTTGAGGAAAATCGTCTCGGTGCAAAAATGACCTCTAAAACCCCAATTTCTGGGAATGATGTCAAGGGAAAATTGTTCCAGATCGAATTTCACCATAAGTCTCCGAATACGGCAAATCTGTAACAAAGATATAATCCGTTTAAATATCAGAAACAAAAAAATATTGCTTTAAATTACGGCCATTCATTTTCAAATCGTTGCCAAACTTATTTTCACCAAACCTACAATTTAAAATATCGAGTATAGCTTTTCTTTACATCTTCCCATATAAGTTCGGAACCGTAAAAAAAAAACTTACAACTTTAAAATGCCTCTTGATAAAAAATTCCAATTCCTCATTTTGATTCAATGTGAAAATGTAGAGCTGAAATTCGAAATGAAATAAATTTAAATAAATTATTAAAGAAAATTTCAGATTACATAACTCACCTTTTCCGTGACGCCATCATGAAAATACAAAGCACTATGATCCACGAAACATTCATCGTCGGGTGAGGGTAACACCATTACCACTTTATCTTTATCGGCAATAATACGCAAAATTTCTATTAACGCCGATATCAAGGCATCTCTTTGCATGTCTGCTGTGGGGGATAGGGGACTGGAAAGAGAGAAAATATTACATAAGAGAAGTATTTGACTATTTATAGAAAAAAATTTCGGTGATATAATAATTTTCAATGACAATTTTTTTGGTGATATATCACCGAAGGAACTTTTTATAGAATTTTTTTTCCAATAATATGTCGCCGACAGAATTTTCATAGAAAATTTTGTTCGGTGATATATCACCGATAGAATTTTTATAGAAAATTTTTTTCGGTGATATATCACCGATAGAAATTTTCATAGAAAATTTTTTCGGTGATATATCACCGATAGAATTTTTATAGAAATTTTTTTTCGATGATATATCACCGATAGAATTTTTAAAGAAATTTTTTTTCGGTGATATATCACCGATAGAATTTTTATAGAAATTTTTTTTCGGTGATATATCACTAATATAATTTTTATAGAATTTTTTTTCGGTGATATATCACCGATATAATTTTTATAGAAAAATTTTTCGCTGATATATCACCGATAGAATTTTTATAGAAAATTTTTTCGGTGATATATCACCGATAGGAATTTACGTAGAAATTTTTTTTTTCGGTGATATATCACCGATAGGAATTTTCTTACAACATTTTTTTCGATGATATATCACCGATAGGAATTTTCATAGAAAAATTTTTCGCTGATATATCACCGATAGGAATTTTCATAGAAACTTTTTTCGCTGATATATCACCGATAGAATTTGTATAGAAAATTTTTTCGCTGATATATCACCGATAGAATTTTTATAGGAAATTTTTTCGTTGATATATCACCGATAAAATTTTTATAGAAAAAATTTTCGCTAATATATCACCGATTAAATTTGTATAGAAAATTTTTTCGCTCATATAACACCGATAGAATTTTTATAGAAATTTTTTCGCTGATATATCACCGATAGAATTTTTATAGAAATGTTTTTCGGTAATATTTCACCGATAGAATTTTTATAGAATTTTTTTCGCTGATATATCACCGATAGAATTTTTATAGAAATTTTTTTCGGTGATATATCACCGATAGAATTTTTATAGAAAATTTTTTCGGTGATATATCACCGATAGAATTTTTATAGAAAATTTTTTCGCTGATTATCACCGATAGAATTTTTATAGAAATTTTTTTTTGGTGATATATCACCGATAGAATTTTTATAGAAAATTTTTTTTTTTGGTGATATATCACCGATAGAATTTTTATAGAAATTTTTTTTCGGTGATATATCACCGATAGAATTTTTATAGAAAATTTTTTCGGTGATATATCACCGATAGAATTTTATAGAAAATTTTTTCGGTGATATATCACCGATAGAATTTTTATAGAAAATTTTTTCGGTGATATATCACCGATAGAATTTTTATAGAAAATTTTTTCGGTGATATATCACCGATTAAATTTTTATAGAAAATTTTTTCGGTGATATATCACCAATTAAATTTTTGTAGAATTTTTTCCGTGATATATCACCGATATAATTTTTTTATAGAATTTTTTTTTTCGGTAATATATAACCGATAGAATTTTTATATAAATTTTTTTTCGGTAATATATCACCGATAGAATTTTTATAGAAAAATTTTCCGGATGATATATCACCGATATAATTTTTATAAAAATTTTTTTTCGGTGATATATTACGGATAGAATTTTTATACAACATTTTTTCGCTGATATATCACCGACAGGAATTTTCATAGAAAATTTTTTCGGTGATATATCACTGATTAGATTTTTATAGAAAATTTTTTCGGTGATATATCAGCAATTAGATTTTTATAGAAAATTTTTCGCTGATATATCACCGATAGGAATTTTTATAGAAATTTTTTTTCGGTGATATATCACCGATTTCAGTTTTGAAGACATTTTTGATGATATAACACAGCGAAAAGTTTTTCTCTCTAAAATATTTATCGAATTTTTCAGTTATGTCACCAATAAAATTTCTTCCTGTGATATATTATGGACAAGCTTAATCAAGTTTTTAGTGCAAATTACTCTGCCATTGCCGCTGCCCTTGTGGTCTTTCGGGCGAAGAGTAAATGCTTCACCACAAATCCCTGGACAACCGATAAAAGTCCCCGGGTGGCATTGCGTGGACTACGCAAGCCATAGGCATATTCCTCCTTGGGTGAACCAAATGTAAATGGAGTCTGGGTCCATTCGGCTCGCATGGGTATGGCCGAGGTGCCAAAGACCAGTTGCCTTAATTCCTAAAAAAATGGAATTTAAAATAAAATATTCTACTTTAAAAATTACAACTTACCATTGCCAATTCGGGTGTAATGGCCTCAGCTCCCTGAGCCTTAAACTGATTTGCCATCTTGCCGTGGATATTTCAAAATCTCGTCTTCTGTCGACGGCTGTTAAATGCCTTTTAATTTCACTTTCATTTGCCAGACACCCAAGTAGACTTGCCTAACAATTTATTTCCGTTTTATTTCCTCCGTCCTCCCCCTTCACGGAAGGAATTTTCATATCTTTCACACCCACTTTTCCGTGGCCAGTGATATTCAATATTTTTTTTTTTTACAATATTTTTTTTAATTCATATTTACATAGTTCTGCACTTGCCCTACGCCTTTTCTTTATGCCATCAACCATTTTCGACATTCCCTGCAATTCGAGCTGTCACTCAATCTGTTAGTTTTCGCCGAAATCTCATGACAAAGGGGGATTGGAGTGCCGGGATCTTTAATTTTGAATGACTTCCAAATTGAAAGTCATGCCATGCAATCCTAAGTGAAACGGAAAGTAAGTGTGAAATTTGTTTGCGAGATTTACATTTCGAATTGATTTTTAAGTAGCTTTTCATTGTTAGTTCGGAAAGGAAGGAAATACTAATGTTTGGATATAGGTTTGGCGGGTGTTTGCGCGATGTCATGAAATGTCTTTAATGTGTTATTAGTTCAAGTACAAAAGAGATTCCTTTTTTTTGCACAAAATTGTATTGAGGGGTGGGCATGGAAAGGTATATGGTCTTAAATTTTAAAGGGGGTGGTATGAAAATTTGAGAATATTTGTATTCTGGGATATTTTTCATTTTTTTAATTTTTATTTTTTTCTTTTTATTTCATTTTAATTTTGCTTCTGGTGGAAGTATCCATTACGAACTTCAAATACCAAATTTGAAACAATTTCGGTGAATAATGTTGCTAAAATCATCGAAGTACCGAATATCGGGAGCTGCCGTTATATGGTGGCTATACGAAGGCGTGGGCCTGCACGGACAATTTTCTGCCTTAGGCGGTAGTATTCATTACGAACGTTAAATAGCAAATATGAAACAATTCCGGTGAAAAATTTCGCTAAAATCCGCAAAATACCGAATATCGGGAAGTGCAGTTATAAGGGGGTTATACGAAGACGTGGACCTGCATAGGCAATTTTCTGCCATAGACTGTAGTATCCATTACGAATTTCAAATACCAAATTTGATACATTTCAGATGAATAATGTCGCTAAAATCATCAAAATACCGAATATCGGGAGGTACCTTTATATGGGGGCTATACGAAGACGTGGACCTGAACAGACAATTTTCTGTCATAGGCTGTAGTATTCATTGCGAACTTCATATACCAAATTTGAAACAATTCTAGTGAATAATGACGCTAAAATCATCAAAATACCGAATATCGGGAGGTACCGTTATATGGGGGCTATACCAAAACTTGGATCTACATGGCCCATTTTCAATACCAAAAGATCTGCAGACATAATATACATTTGATTAAAATTTTATCAACCTACTTCATTTCGTTCGGAAGCTAGAGTGATTCCACAGAAGAACAGACGGTTTTGGTTGAGGTATACCAGAAGGGGTTCGCAGATATCTATCATCTTCACAAAAGATCATGTGTTAGCAAAAATGTTGGTATGTGTTAAATTTGAAAAGAGTTGGATGCTTATTTCGTTTTTTTTTTTTTTTTTTTTTTTGAGAGTTTTGTTTTCCAAAATCTTAAACCCTATGTGGGGGAGGCACCAGAAGAAATGGTCCGATCTCTACCATCTTTATAACAGATCTTGTGTTGTTCGAAATATTGAGATGTACCAAGTCTGAATGGAATTGGATGTTAATTTCTAGTTTGATAAGCCTTTATGGATATTCAAAATTTTGACCCATTGTGGAGGAGGTACCAGAAGGAGTGGACCAATATATCCCACTTTCACAGCACATCATGTCTTAGTAGAAATAACGGCATGTGGGAAATATGAGGACAACCGGAAGCTTATGTGGGATTTTATAATCGTTTAGGTTATTCAAAACATTGATCCTTTGTGGGGGAGGTACCAGAAGAATCAGTCCGATCTCTACTATTTTTATAATATATCTTATGTTGATGGAAATATTGAGAGGTTCCAAGTCTAAATGGAATTGGATGTTAATTTCGCGTTTGATTTATTCGAATAAAAAAATATTCAAAATTTTGACCCCTTGTGAGGCAGGTACCAGAAGGAGTGAACCGATATATTCCATTTTCACACCAGACCTTGGGTAAATAAAATTATTGTGATGTGTGTAATTTAAGGACAATCAGATGCTTATTTCGGATTTCGTTTTGGTTATTCAAAACTTTGACCCTTTGTGGGGGAGGAGGTACCATAAGAAATGATCCGATTTTTACAATCATTTTAACAGATGTTGTGTTGATGAAAATATTGAGATGTACCAAGTCTGAAGGGGGTCGGATGTTAAGTTTGCGTTTAATGAGATTAATGGATATTCAAAATTTTGACCCTTTGTGGGCGAGGTACCAGAAGGAGTGGACCAATATATTCCATCTTCACACCAGATCATGGGTTAATAAAAATATGGCGATTTGTGTAATTTGAAGACAATCGGACACTTACATAACATTTTATAAGAGTTATAATTATTCAAAATTTTGACCCTTTCGTGGAGGGGAGGTACTTGATGGACTGCACAGATATTGTCAATTTTCGCACCTGGCCTAGCACTGATGCAAATATTAGGATTTGCAAAATTGGAGCAAAATCGGATTATCCTTTCTCTTTCTGTGCAGTAAAATATTTTTTTGAAAATTTCGAACTCTTTTGAGGGAGGTACCAGAAGGTGTGGGCCGATATATCCCATCTTCACACCAGATCATACATTAATAAAAATATTGTGATGTGTGGAATTCGAAGACAATCGGACTCTTACATCACATTTTATAAGAGTTATAACTATTCAAAATTTTGACCCTTTTGTGGAGGGGAGGTACTTGGTGGCGTGCACCGATATTGTCCATTTTCGCAGCTGACCTAGCGCAGGATATTAGGATTTGCAAAATTGGAGCAAAATCGGATTATATTTTCTCTTTCTGTGCAAAGAATATTTTTTTGCAAATTCCAACGTTTTGTGGGGGAGGTACCAAAAGGAGTGGACCGGTATTGCCAATCTCTGAATTCGATCTAAGTTTGAGAATTATATTACGATGTACCAACTTTGGATCAAATCGGATACTCCCTTCGAGAGTTATCGTGCACCCCAGCCAGACAGACGGACGGATGGACGGACGGACATCGCTAGATCGACTCCAAATATCCCGAAACGGATTTCTTGCAAAGAGACCTAGAGTCTAAAACCATTATTTCGATGAGGCACTTTTTGGCCGTATGAAATGATATTTACCCTCTGTAGCCATATGGCAGATAATTCCAAAAAATGTTATATGGATTCCAATTTCTTGGTGGCAGTTTGAAGTTTTGGGTACTATTGGACTCCGACATATTTTTGTTTCAATTTTTTTTTTCGTTCCATTTTAACTTTGCTTCTTTTGCGCCATTCAGAGAAGGATTATAAAGCTGGGAATACATAAAGCGTTTATTTGGCTGGCTTAAGTCATCGGCTGCCTTCTTCGTAGAGAAGCAAAGGAGTTTTAGATAGAAGCCAGCCAAATAAGCACTTTATGTATTCCCACCTTAATTATTGCCATAGAAGACCAGAAGTTTTGATCGAAGACCAGAAGTTTTGATCGAACACAGGTAGTAAGCTTCTCCTGAAAAATTAATAAGAATATAAATTAATAATATTTTTTATTTATTTTATTTTACTTACCCTCAAATACAGCTCATACATGGACCTTCCCTTGTCCTCTCAAAAAAATTTTCAAATTGTAGAATGTTTTGTACGATGATGATGGGTATTGCCGCATATCCTTTGCCTTTATTGTCCACTTAATTGCTTGTGACACCCAAGGGAGAGAGGGAGAGCATTCAATAATTTTCCAAAGAAAATTACTTAATTTTAAATAATGACCCGACAACACCTTTTCCATTGCGTGCTAGAATTTTTAACATTTTTTTCAAACCTACCAAAGAAACTGGAAATATAATTTCATAATTGCATTCCAATTTTAAATTCCATTCTGTCGAACAAATCATTTGGCAGAAATATAAACCCAATATTTATTATGACCAGAGGCCAAATAATCAGTTATAGTTCTCGGACTCACAGCGAAAGAGAGTTCAAAAGGAGGAAAGTTCGAATTTCCACCATGAAGTTTGCCATATTATTTGTGGGAATAATTTTCTGCCGTTTTATAGCGCCCTTGGGCGGAAAGAAGGCCACCTCTGATCATCATCAGATAAATAAAATAATTTTGGAATATTTTAAATTCCATGGTGTTCGCACCATGAATTTCATCAAGTGTCCCCGGAATGAAAGTGGTAAGTATTGAACATTTTATAGAGATCTGAGGAATATGTAGACCTTATGAAGTATATATATTATTGATCAGCATAAGATTCTATGTCGAGATGCAGATGTCTGGTGGACCTGTAGACCTTTTCGTATGGCTTTAATTTAACAGTACCGAACCGATATTCGCATTATAATAATGTTAGCGGCGGATTCTTTTTATACGCTCCACCAAAGTATGGACGAACGAAATAAAGTAGGTTGATAAAATTTTACTCATATATATATATTATGTCTGCAGGACTTTTGTTATTGAAAATAGGTCATGTAGGTCCACCTTTTGGTATAGCCCCCATATAACGATACCTCCCGATATTCGGTATTTTAATGATTTCAGCGACATTATTCACCGGAATTGTTTCAAATTTGGTATTTGAAGTTCGTAATGGATATTACAGCCTAAGACAGAAAATTGTCTGTGCAGGTCCACGCCTTCGTATAGCCCCCATATAACGGTACCTCCCGATATTCGGAATTTGGATGATTTTAGCGACATTATTCATCGGAATTGTTTCAAATTTGGTATTTGAAGTTCGAATTAAATACTACAACCTAAGACAGAAAATTGTCTGTGGTGGTCCACGCCTTTGTATAGCCCTCATATAACGGTACCTCCCGATATTCGGTATTACGATGATTTTAGCGACATTATTCACCGGAATTGTCTAAAATTTGGTATTTGAAGTTCGCAATGGATACTAAAGCCTATGACAGAAAAATGTCTGTGCAGGTCCACGCCTTCGTATAGCCCCCATATAACGATACCTTCCGATATTCGATATTGTGATGATTTTAGCGACATTATTCACCGGAATTGTTTCAAATTTGGTATTTGAAGTTCGTAATGAATACTACAGCCTAAGACAGAAAATTGTCTGTTCAGGTTCACGTCTTCATATAGCCCCCATATAACGGTACCTCCCGATATTCGATATTTTGATGATTTTAGCGACATTATTCATCGGAATTATTTCAAATTTGGTATTTGAAGTTCGAAATGGATATTACGGCATAAGACAGAAAATTGTCTGTACAGGTCCACGTCTTTGTATAGCCACCATATAACGATACCTCCCGATATTCGGTATTTTGATGATTTTAGCGACATTATTCACCGGAATTGTTTCAAATTTGATATTTGCAGTTCGCAATGGATACTAAAGCCTATGACAGAAAATTGTCTGTGGTGGTCCACGCCTTTGTATAGCCCTCATATAACGGTACCTCCCGATATTCGGTATTTTGATGATTTTAGCGACATTATTCACCGGAATTGTTTCAAATTTGATATTTGCAGTTCGCAATGGATACTAAAGCCTATAACAGAAAATTGTCTGTGCAGGTCAACGTCTTCGTATAGCCCTCATATAAAGGTATCTCCTGATATTCGGTATTTTGATTATTTTAGCGACATTATTCATCGGAATGGTTTCAAATTTGGTATTTGAAGTTCGAAATAAATACTACAACCTAAGACAGAAAATTGTCTGTGCAGGTCAACGTCTTCGTATAACCCTCATATAACGGTACCTTCCTATATTCGGTATTTTGACGATTTTAGCTACATTATTTACCGATTTTTCGAGTTTCGCATTTGAATATTGTAATAGCTTAGGACAAAAGTTGCCTATGCAGATCCACGTCGTCGCATAGACCCTAATATGACGGCTATATTCGGTATTTTTAAGATTTTAACAGAATTTTAAACGATTTTTTTTTTAACTGGGGGAGGATATTAAATTCCCCGAACCGTCAATGTCTCATTGGACTCATCTGAGCCCCTGTTGCTGTCTCAATCCTAGGAAAATTTTCCTAGTTGGTCTGCATAATTTCTGCTCCAGTTCACGGGCTCATTGAGACTATGATTCTTGGTACCGTCATCTAGTGACCCACTATAACTTGGCTTTCCAACTGCAAAGAAGACGGCATAGAAATTAATTAATTAGAAATTATCGAACTGACAATGGAAAGGTTACCTGATACTACCGCAAGGAAAGAGTCATCGCCAATGTTTTTTTTTCCTTCAAAAGACATCCTTTTTTTCTTATCCACCTGGGGTCGTACAATTTTTTTTTTTTTTCCTTGAAAAATTACTTTTATGCTTGTTGGACACCAGACGCGAAGAGACAGTGGATCTAGAGGGAGGGTCTCAGATTAATCGAACACCAATTATGGCTGAATTGAGGAGGCGAACAATTGACGGCTCAAAATTAAACACCTTAAACAGATTTATCCCAAACCACAATTGGGGACTTCTTCACTCTGTGATTTTACGCGATCTCGTGTTAGAGGATTGCGGTCTGGGTATAGACTAAAAGCAGAGAGTTTCGAATAATTGCAATGATATTGAGGCTATGACATAGTGATCTTCGTCTCCTTTAAAATCAATACCGCTTTGATGGATAGAACTACTTTAAATATCAAAAAAAAAGCTCACCTGACTATTCTTGTTGTGGATGGGTCCAATTCCAATATTCGTCAACCAACTGCATTCGAAAAGAGCTTCGTCGATATCTGGACACCACGACGAATATTGGACTTAATTTTCTATGTCTCCTTCAAAATCAATGTGGCTCTGGATGATAAAAGTACTTCAGAATATAGGGACGTACAATATGGGGTATAAACGATATTGTGGACCTATATAGGCAATTCTCTTCCAGGGGGTAAAGTGCTCCTGAAGGAACTTTTTTGTGGGTTTTCAGACAATTTCATTGAAAAAATTGAATATCAGGAGGTACCGTTAGATGGGGGCTATACGATATGGTGGACTGATATAGGCCATCCTCGAACTTGACCCGTTTCCAAGAAGAACATGTGAAAAATTTCAGATTCTCTTCGGGACGATCATAATTTGATGTATTTTCGATTCACATTTAGTTACTGGCTTTGAAATGGTTTGTCTTGTCCTAACCTGAAATAAATGATAAAGTTTTAAATAACTCCTACTCCCAGTTTTCTTACTTATTTTATTACAACTTACTTGACTCATAAGATCTTCCAACTTTCTCTCTTCTCCTCTTCTCCAAGGTCCACATCATTTGGAACCCAAAAAGTTACTACCCTACTTAATTCGCGAAAATATGCCAGTACGGGTATGGTCTGGTATGGATTATTTAAAAAAGGATCCCATAGCTCCCCTCTACGGTCCTCCCATTACCTTTCAACGGAACGGCAGCATTGGCCGCATTCCCCTTAACATAAAAATGGAAACTATAGCCCACAAAACGGGTATAATTGTGGATAACTTTAACACCCCCTGTGCCCTAAATGTCCTAAGTTGGTGTGGCGCATCGGAACAAAATTATTTTACCACAAATCGTTTTTGGTTATTATTGGGCACCAATGAAGGAGATTTGGAGTTGTTGGAGGACCCTGGTATATTTCTGCCACCCGATAGTGAAGTTAAGGTTTTACTTCGTAATGAAAATAAAACCTATGCCCTCTTGGATGTCTATAAAGTAGCGGCGGATAAGGAGTTGAAGGTCCGCGAGGTATTGGGAAATTTTACGGAGGTTAAGGAAATGTTAAAAGGCTTGCAGAAATATGGCTCACCCATATCTTATCGTGAAAATTTAGAGGGTATTACTTTCAAAACGGGATTGGTCATTGCATTTCCCGACATGTTTACCGACATCAATGACATATCGCTGCGCCACATCGATACCATATCCAAGGTGAATAATCGCTTGACTTTGGAGTTGGCAAATAAATTGAATATGAAGTAAGTTGGAGGGTAAATGAGATATGATTCCCTATAATTTCCCTATTTTTTTTTTTTTTTTTTTTTTTTTTTTTTTTGACTTCACAGATACAACACCCATCAAATGGACAACTATGGCTGGCACCAACCGAATGGCTCCTTTGATGGCTTCATGGGTCGCATGCAACGTTACGAATTGGATTTTGGTCAAATGGCCATATTTATGCGTCTGGATCGCATTGCCTTGTGTGATTTTGTGGCCGAAACATTTCGCATTCGAGCTGGTGTTATGTTCCGCCAACCACCCCTCTCGGCTGTGGCAAATATTTTCGCCATGCCCTTTGAAAATGATGTCTGGATTTCAATATTGATTTTGATATTCTTTACCATCTTTGTTTTCACCTTGGAACTGGTGTTCTCACCCCATGCCCATGAAATGGATTTCTGGGATGGTGTGGTATTCGTGTGGGGTGCCATGTGCCAGCAGGGATTTTATTTTTCATTTGGCAATCGTTCGGGAAGGATGATCATCTTTACCACCTTTGTGGCTACGTTGTTTTTGTTCACCTCATTTTCGGCAAATATTGTGGCTCTGCTGCAAAGTCCCTCAGAGGCCATACATAATTTAAAGGATTTAAGTCAGTCACCCTTGGAGATTGGGGTACAGGATACGGTTTATAATAAGATTTATTTTAATGTGAGTTTCCAAGGAAGAGGGGGGGAGGGAGTTTCAAATTTAATTCTTTTTTTGAATTTCCAGGAATCCACAGATCCGGTTACAAATCTGCTGTATCACAAAAAGATTGCCCCCAAAGGGGATAGCATCTATATGCGTCCCATGATTGGCATGGAAAAAATGCGCACCGGTCTCTTTGCCTATCAGGTGGAGTTACAGGCTGGCTATCAAATTATAAGCAATACTTTTAGTGAGCCGGAAAAATGTGGCCTCAAGGAGCTGGAACCATTTCAATTACCCATGCTTGCTGTGCCGACCAGAAAGAATTTCCCCTACAAGGAGCTGTTCCGCAGACAGTAGGACCGTAAAAATAATTTCCGAAGAACTCAAATTCCATTCCTACTTTATTTCTAGGTTACGTTGGCAACGTGAGGTGGGTCTCATGAATCGTGAAGAACTCAAATGGTTTCCGCAAAAGCCGAAATGTGAAGGTGGTGTGGGTGGCTTTGTTTCCATTGGTCTCACCGAATGCCGTTATGCCTTGGCCATGTTTGGCTATGGGGTTCTATTGGCCATAATCATATTTTGTTGTGAAATTATTTTGAAAATAATGCATCGCATGGGCAAACGTATGAATGCCTACTACAAGGGGGATCGTTTTCCTCCCGGGGTAAATGCAGAATAATTGATTTAAAAGGAGTGACCTCATCATACCGCCCAAGTACAATTTATCATATAATCGTTGTTAAGGATATTCAATTACTTATCAACTTGAATGTTTTGGCAACAAAGAGAGATTTGTCGCGACCAAGAAAAAAAATCAATTAAATCAATGTTTCTTATTTTGTGGAAATATATGTAGTTTATGTTGTTCTTGTAGTCAATAAAATATAGTAGAGATACCCAAGAACATTCAAAGTAAGAAAAAAGGGCCATTAATTTAGAAAAGCTGATGAAAAATGTAGATAGAACCTTCGAAATACCCGCAATTGGGCGCTTCTTTTACAGGGTCTCAGTGAGAAACTTTGTCTCCAAACATTCTTCAAGAGATCAAGGTATTAAGAACTGGTGTAGGCAGAGCTTCCATCTACAGAGAACCTGTAAATTTAATGTTCGGTCCGAAATTGTACGAAATTCAACAGCTTCCGTAGTATGGGCGACCCTTCCAATAAGGGAGACCTGGTGTAGACAGAGTTTCCATCCACCGAGAACCCCTAAAATCAATATTCGGTCTGAAATTGTCTTAAATTCAAAAGCGTCCGTGGTATGGGTTCATTATTCTAATAAGGGAGATATACAGGATGATATGAAAAAAACTGCAATCAACTTCAGACTGCTGTCATTTCCAAATTATTCAAATTATTTCAGTGACAGCTCATTATATTGTTTACAAGCTTTCGAAGACATTTTGACATTTTCCAGAAAAAAAAATTAGTCGTGTTCGGAATTCAAGCGTGATATTGAGATTTCTTTATATTTGTCTGGAAAACCACAAGTGGCTATCGTTAGAGCACTCCAGCATTTAAATGTGAATAAATCTTGTGTATCTCGTACCTTCGTCTCGCTCGTTACCGTAATATTGGTGCGTAGCCCGACGTCAAGGATTTGATCGAAACCCGCCGCGTCGCAGTGGCCAAAAAATGGCTCGTGAGCTGAACATATCGAAATATGCCATTCGGCAAATATTTAAAAATGAGCTCGGGGGTAAATCCATTGAAATTCCAAAAAGTGCAAGAACTTATACCGCAACAGAAAGAAAATAGACTCAGGAAAGCTAAAGAGTTGCTTCACCTTATACCGCAACAGAAAGAAAATAGACTCAGGAAAGCTAAAGAGTTGCTTCGCCTTGGACGAAAGTGGTGAAATGCCGAATTTGGTTTGGTGGTCTCAGGTGAGAAAACATTCGTTGTCGAGCAGTTTGTAAACAAACAAAATGATCGTGTTTATTTGTCAAAGAGGTCAGCTGAAAATGAGCACCTTCGGTTGGCCACCAGAACTTCTCAAGTGCTGGCCTGCCATGGTGATGGTGTGGGTGGCCATAACAGCCGCTGGTCCTCTCCGCTCATACTAATCGACCGTGGCATCAGAATAAATACCGAATATTATCGCGAAAATATTGTGGAGGGTGTATTGAAGCCTTGGGCACGCAAACATTTTGGCCGCAGACCTTGGACATTCCAACCGGACTCAGCAGCATCGCACTCAGCACGCGCCACCCAAGAATGAGGTTCCTCGTTTCATTTCCAGCGCACAATGGTCACCAAAATCTCTAGATACTAATCCATTGGACTATTGTGTCTGGAGTATTTTGGAAAGCAAGGTTGATACTAAAAAATGCCAAAGTGTCGATCACTGTTGGCCAAAATACCGCAGAGTAACATCAGAATAAATGACGATTATTATCGCGAACATTTTTTGGAGGGTTTATTTATTTATGGTCGCAGACCTTGGACATTCCAACAAAACTCATCACCATCGTACTCAGCACGCGCCACCCAAAAATGGTTACAAAATTAGGTTCCTCGCTTCATTTTCAGCGCACAATGGCCATAAAAATCTCCGGATACCAATCGGTTGGACTATTGTATCTGGAGTATTTTGGAAAGCAAAGTTGGCACTAAAAAATGCTAAAATGTCGATCACCTCAAGCAAGCGCTTCGCCTGGAATGGGCCAAAATGCTGCAGAGCAAAAGATGACCAATTCGAACAAATCTTAACTTATTCTAAAATTTGATGCTACTGCAGACCTTTTTTGCTTTCATTCAATAAAATTTAAAAAAAAAATGTAAAAATTATGGCGTTTGACTCTGTTGCATTTTTTTTTATCTCACCCTGTATATGTCTTTTTTAATAAATAATACTGTGGAATCTGTTGTTGTAACAGTTATACGTGTTCTGTTTGGGTTCTGCTAATCTGGTTCTAACTCTAAGTTCCAAAAATCCTGTGGAATCCGTTTTGAATATTTTGGTTGTTTTGGTTCGGTTTATCTTCCATTTGGAATCTCCTCTTTTTCTTTTTATTTCATTTTACTTTAGTTTCTCCTTTCTTTGGTTGACTTAGCAGTCCACCTTCTGTTCAGAAATCTTCAAATAGTTTAAATTACCTATAAATGGTAAAATGTTTCTTTTCTTTTTGTGGAAAGTAAATTTCCTGTCCTATTTTACCTTAATCCACCACGATGCCATTTCTACCATAGGTTACTCATTTATTATTCAAAATGTTTAACCTCCAGGATCAAGTTTTGCTTCTCCGATAGTTTTTTCTTTTTATTTCATTTTACTGCTTTGTGCAATTCTCCCATTATTTTGGTTTCCAGCAGATATTTTTTCTTTTTATTTCATTTTACCTTTGTGGGCTCTAAATTATAGTTTGCTTAGGCAAGTCATGTTTCTTTAAATAAATAAAAATGCATTAAAATTACAATAAATAAGTTTGATTACCATGTCCGTTTGTGCACTCTCATTCTCTACCATATAAGCCTTTGGGGTTCCTTATAATTATCCCATTTGATTTCTTTGGTAAAGAATATATAAAATGTTATGGCATTCAGTAGAACATTAAAACTTAATTCTATCCAATGGGCACGACTAGATTTCAAATTAGGACGGGTATTCAAACGGAAGAGAACAAATGGAATTATGAAGTAGCGTAATTCCAGCAGACGTTGGAAGCATAAAACTATGGCAGTGGCAAGCCAGAACATAAATTTTAAATTAAAACGTAAATGCTTTATGCCCTGATGGATGAACATCAAACAGACCGCATACACGGGACACATGCCGTATTTGAACCACCAATAGCGGCCATAGAGTCTCTGCCATATATAGAAGATATAATGGCGATTGTCGGCCAATAGATAGGGATGGACCAGGGTATTGAAGCGTACAATCATCAAAAATACCACAGTCAGCATACACATTTCGCATTTATACTCGAGCAGAGCTTGCATGGTGGCCCGGAATCTATTGATGATATTCGAAATGCCAAAGAAGCAACAGAAAATGGCAAAGTAGAAGAGCTGCAAAGGAACAAGGCAGATGATTATTATTAAAAAAAAATTGGGATATTTTCTGAAATTACCTGTGGCACATGAATGCTAGCTTCATGTGCTCTCTTGTCTCCCAACACAATGGAGCCATTAAGATATACAAAGCCCATAAATGGTAAAATGATAACCAAATAGAAACATCCTTGGGTAACAATATACCATAGACATTTTACCAAAAGTTCGAAACGTTTCAAAATGTCCAAAATGACCTGAAAAGAAAGGAGAGGAAATGTGTTAAAAGGTGGCCAAAAAAGATGTCAAAACATAAAAAGCCAAAGGGCTCATCTACTGTCTAACAGGATACAGCAAATTGTCAGAAGTTGATAAAAAGGATTTAATTCTTATTTTAGCAGATGACTCAGAATCATATGCCCAAAATCACATCTGGCCCTAATATATTGCAGATGACTAGAAGGTTACTTAATTTATTTAAGAAGACCATATGGGTCCATCTTCTCTGCAGTAAATGATCTGAGAGGACATATACTCCAAAGTGCATAGCCAGAGATGCTATTTACATTACAGTAGATGACCAGGGAAGCCATGCAAACTACCAGTAGCACCTAAATCAGGCCCAGAATTGCACATATTCTTCAAGAGCTGCATATATTCTTTGTTACCTTATAACCAAAAGTTTTCCTCCTACCTTTGGTTTATAGATTTGCACCTCATTTGGTTTTATGCCCTTCAACTCGGCATATTTCACGGTAACCAAATCCAAAGCCATTGTACCAAACGCCATGGCAACCCAGACAACATTGGTTTGGCGCATCAGAACACTAGCAGCAGCTAAGGATCAAAAATAAAACCGATTAGTCGACCACCGGAAACACTTAATTCCCAACAAACCTACCATATACAGATGCCTGTAAATGGCTACCCTTTTGCCAAAAGACATACATCAACAGTACCGTGGTCAATGACAATGTATCGGAATAATATAGATGACTAAAGAAATACAACGGCGGCAGACTGCCTATAGTTACAGCTTCCAGGGCGGCCAATGTGGAATGGGCATTACCCAAAGATTTGCGTCTTATATAATACAAAAGGACAACATTAACAGCGGCCGCCATCAACGAAATCAATCGCAAACCCAGCACTTCACAAAACTCCAATGGTATTAGAAGCAGGGCAAAGAAATACAGACCCGGAAAGGTGGTTATCTTGGGATCCCACTGGAAGAGAGAAAGCAAACATATATTTAAAAACTTTATTATTGTTTTATGGTCTTACCTCCTTGAACTGTTTGTTACAATAGCGCAGGCCTTGCCTCAAGTGGAATTCCTCATCGATTACCATTTGAGTGGTGCTATAGACCCTTAGAAACAGGGGCAGGGAATAGGCTGCAAAAACCAGCACCAATAAAATGGGCAGCAAATAGGTTTTCATGTTGCTGTGGTTCCAATGATGCGTTTAAGTTGCCACTAGGATTTGTAGTGTCTCCCGGAGTATAATTATCCCTTTTCTGCAATAAATTCAAGATAAATGTGCGAAATAGTGAAAATTTACTGGGAGAAGAATGCGAGAGTGTGCGAAGTGGTCAACACAAAATTTCAAATTTGTTCCCAGGAGTCTTATTATGGCTATTGAACAAAGGATTCAACTAATTATATCGTTAAATGTGCCAATCTGTCAAAATTTGCTGGGAGAGAGTAAATAAAAGAGAGAGAGAGAGAGAAAAACGCCGGTGGGCCGGTAATAAACACAACCACCTTTTTTTATTTTTAGAACAATTATTTTAAACATTTTATAAAATTAACAAATAAAAAAATTGTTTAAAATATTTTTTATACTTATTCCTCTTCCATTTTACTTGTTTCTATCGACAGTAACAGTCCCCGGGGAGACCTAACCTATAAGACTCCTATACCAATAATGTCCCGTACCCAATTGAAATTTTAGGATTTTACTCACTGTTTTTCCAATATATGATAATCTTGATCAACCACTGTGTCCAATTTCAATATCCTCAGTATTCTTCTTGATAGGAGGTGAGTTTATGTCCATCACCTCCGTCCCAACGAAAGAAATAAGAAGACACGATAAAAAATTTAAAAAAAAATTTATTGAAAACCTCTGTTGTTTACGAATGAGTGTGTAACGCAAAACGTCCGAGAAATCTGTTGTTTACGAATGAGACTTGAGGAAAACGCGGAATCAGCTGGTCACATTCATTAAATGAGCCGTGGGACCAGACAACGTAGCGGTACGATTATTTCGGTGCTGGCTCATTCGCTGTTTACCAATCGTCGGCGGCGCCCTGTTTATTTTGACGGCGTCGGCAAGATTTCGGCGCTAAAAAAAGTTAAATTTGAAACCAAATATATGTTCTTAGAAATAATTTTTTTTTTATATAATTTTACAATTTTCATAGCCTTCTACAATTATCTCGCTTCTATCTCTGCGCGGGACTAGATTGACATTTGACTGGCTTTTATGGGGCTTCAAAAGACTTGATAATTTGGGCAGTTTATTAACTGCTTCTTCTTTTTTTCGAGACATACACCGTGGATTGATAACATCCAAACATATAATGGAGTCGTCTGTTTAATTGCAATTTTATAGATTTAAGTCGTGCCTTTGCTCCTTGTGAGTTTACACAAAAAGTTTTAATAATTTCTAGGAGTTCTAGCATCCTTCTTCAGCAAACTAATCATTGTTTACTTGGCAAAATCCACATGAATTTATAAAATTTATCCGGGAATAGTATCTGAGAGAGAAAATGTCATCTTACTCATCTTTGCTTTTGACTACTTTTTGAAGGATATAACAACATAGATAATTACTACCAATTCTTTCAAATATTTTTTTTTTTTTTAATTTATTTTTACATTTATGTATGTTTTATGATAAACATATAAAACATACATAAATATAAAAATAAATTAAAAAAAAAACTGCTTTAAAAAAACTAGATTTTGACCTAAGCACTTGATAATCACAGATAATCACTTTTTACATTCGTGAAATCCACGTTGGATTGATAACACTCAAATATATGATGTTGCCGTCTGTTTAATAGTAGTTTTGAAGTTTTAAGCTGTGCCTTTGTTCCTTTTGAGTTTCCACAAAATGTAGCAACTTGTGAATTCAAAACAAACTGCCAAGAATTTTAGCATCCTTCTTCAGCAAGCTAATCAGTATTTAGTTCGGAAATATCTTCGTTAATTTGTAAAATTCATCGGATAAGATTATACGAGAGAGAAAATACGACATTTCTCTTTGGGATTACTTATATTTAGGATACAGCAGCATAGATAAATACAGATAATTCATCATTCATATTTCTTTTATAATTTATTTTTATATTTATGTATGTTTTATCTGCTTATCGCCTGCTTTAATAAAAAAATATCATAAATTATTATCAATGTTCTCTGTTTACTTTCGTGAAATCCACGTTGTATTGATAACACTCAAACATATGATAGAGCCGGCCGTTAAATAGTAGCGTTGAAGTTTTAATAAGTGCCTTTGTTTCTTTTGAGTTCCCACAAAAGTTTCACAAAATATCAGGAATTTTAGCATCCTTCTTAAGCAAATTAGACAAATCTATGTCAATTTTTAGAATTCATCGGGAAAAGAAAATGTCATCTTACTCGTTTTTTTTTTTTTGTTTTACTTATTTTATGGATAGGACAACAGAGATAAATGCTCTATAATAAAAATAATAACTTTGATTTGAAAACCCATTAAAATATTTTCTCCTTTCGGTTGATCCCAAAAATCATACCATGGCCCATAGGTTTTGCCATAGTGTTTATCCATACCACCACTACCCCCTCCACTACCACCGCTCTTTCACTGTTGAGCAGGGCCTTCAAAATATTTATTTTATAATTTATTTTTATATTTATGTATGTTTTATCTTTTTATCGGCTGTTGTAATAAAAAAGATTTTGGCCCGAGCACTTGATAACCGTTTCTATTTACATTCATTGAATCCACGTTGAATTGATAACACAATGTCATATGTTAAAGCCCGCGCTTTATCACTTGGGAATGGCCCATGTCTCCAGAAGAAATTCAATGATTTATGATGTTTTCTATAACCTTTCGGTGTAGAGTATTCAATTCATTCAAACATCTTTATTGTTGTGTGCTTTATGTATAAACGTGTAAGTTAAAAAACAATTTGTAAGAAGTAATGTTTGGTATAATTTTAATCATAATTATTTATGCATTTAATTATCTTTATTTTTTTTCTAACTTTAAATATTTTTCTTTATGGCTCTCTTCCTCTGATTTCTTTGGCATGTACAGGGGACTGATGACACCATAATATAAGAGGAAGCCACCCGTTAGATTTTGAACTCAGAGAGATGTCAACGCATAGATGAGGGATGCCGCCTATCATTTTTTTGTCATGCTTAATTGATTGATAACACTTTAACATGTGTAGGAGTCGGCGGTTATTTCTTTATGAATGTATGTAAAAGAGATGACAACTATTTAAAAAAAAATCAATTAATATACTAGAGATAAAACAGTAGAAAAATATTAGAAGCTAATTACAAATTCCACGCTAATATTTGCTCTGTTCCAGAACATGCAAGGATCTACTATGGTAAAATTAAGAAGGAAAAATCATTTCAAATAAGCATTCCCATCTTTGCATTTTCTGAAATTTACCTTGTCAAATTTCGCTGAATAGGAAGCAGGTTCCCATCTTTTATTTGTGAATGTACAATGGATTTATAAATAAACACTTTGACAATAAAATGTTGTCAAATGAATAATTTTGAAAAAAAAAAAAAATGGTAAACATGATTGTATGACTTTACCTTCTTAATTCTACCATGGGATTTATTAGTTTAGCAATTTTGTTTCGATATCATAAAGTGAAAATCGGTTATCATAGTAAAACGTTTTACATTCTTGCACAGGCCATTTCTTTAAAATAAAACAACTTTAATTTTTTTTCTAAGAAAAAAAAAACTTTATTATTTTTCAATGTATAACGATGTTTTAAAAACATGCTGAAAACAGTATTTTTATTTTATAATTTCCTTAAAAACTAATAAAAACTTCCGAATTCTAATCAAAACATTTATTTTGCAAACTAAAAATAATTCCTACTTTTTCGAAATAGTAATTGGGAAAATTTAAAAAATATATATATTTATTAGAATATTTTCTTATTTATTTACACATCTGTAAATCATGGGAGCCGAACGATCATTTGTGGTTGTGTGACGCAATTTAACGGTGGCAAATTGTGAAGCTCTGTGGGCACAGATGGACCATCATTGTTGGAATTTTGTTTGAAAAAAATGTTTCAAAATTATATTTTATTTTATTAATATTACAAATTATATACAAAAAAATAATAATATTACAAAAGTAGATAGATATTCGAAAAAAGATGCTTACAAACTAAATCAAAAATTACAGGAATTTAGCATTTTTAAGGGGGGAAAATACAGGATATTTCAATTAAAAATCTAGGGACATATTACGATAGGCACCACTCTTGCTAAAATAAAAAAATAAACAAAAAAATATTAAAAAAAAATTTAGCAATACATATTTTTTTCTCAAATACAGAAAATGGAAGACTTGTTTGATGTTGTCACGAACTTAAAAAAGAAACAAAAACACACACAAATGTCATGGATGTTAGCAAATGTGTATGAAAGAAAGAAGAAAAGAAATTATTAACTTAAATATGAATAAAACTAAAAATTAATAAAAAATATAGATATGTATAAAAGTAAATATGTATGTATATTTGTATATAATAAACTGACTTTACAAAATAAGACTCTTTACAAACAAAGAAAAAACGAATTTCATAACTTTCTCCATTCGTTTCGATTTCTAATATTCGATGATGTTGATGTAAACTTGGCACTACTTTTTTTTGAATTGTAAAAGAAACGAAAACAATTTCTTAACCGGTAAGAAAATGCTGAGAGTGCCTTGCTTAAAGTTTCTTAAAACAAAACTTAATCAAATTAAATCGGAAAAAACTCTTGAACTTTCCGCGATGGAGGTTAAGGTGGTGGGGGGAGAAAATATTTGACAGCAATAAGGAATTGAAGAAATGTTTTAAATTCGATATCATTATTTTTATAGAGCCCTTGACAGATGATAACGATCGATAACAACATTTTCCATAGAAATCGTTATCGATAACAACAATTTCAATAGAAAACATTGTCGATAACAAGATTTTCTATAGAAAACATTGTCGATAACAAGATTTTCTATAGAAAACGTTGTCGATAACAACATTTTCTATAGAAAACGTTGTCGATAACAACATTTTCTATAAAAAACGTTGTCGATAACAACATTTTCTATAGAAAACATTGTCGATAACAGCGTTTTCTATAGAAATCGTTGTCGATAACAACATTTTCTATAGAAACCTTTGTCGATAACAAAATTGTCTATAGAAATTGTTGTCGATAACAATATTTTCTATTGAAACCGTTGCCGATAACAAAATTTTCTATGGAAACCGTTGTCGGTAACAACATTTCTGCAAGAAACTTGTTCGATAACAAGATTTTCTATAGAAAACATTGTCGATAACAACATTTTCTATAGAGAACATTGTCGATAACAACATTTTCTATAGAGAACATTGTCGATAACAAGATTTTCTATAGAAAACATTGTCGATAACAAGATTTTCTATAGAAAACATTGTCGATAACAACATTTTCTATAGAAACCGTTGTCGATAACAACATTTTCCATAGAAACCGTTGTCGATAACAACAATTTCAATAGAAACAGTTGTCGATAACATCATTTTCTATAGAAAGCGTTGTCGATAACAACGTTTCTTAAAGAAAGTATTGTCGATAACAACATTTCCCATAGAAATCGTTGTCGATAACAACATTTTCGATAGAATTCATTGTCGACGATTGAATTCATTGTTCGATTTTCTATAGAAATCGTTGTCGATAACAGCATTTTCTATGGAAATCGTTGCCGATAACAACATTTTCTACAGAAATCGTTGTCGATAACAACATTTTCTATAAAAAACGTTGTCGATAACAACATTTTTTGTAGAAATCGTTGTCGATAACAAAATTTTCTATAGAAATCGTTGTCGATAACAACATTTTCTATTGAAATTGTTGTCGCTAACAACATTTTCTACAGAAATCGTTGTCGATAACAATATTTTCTATAGAAATCGTTGTCGATAACATAATTTTTTATAGAAATTGTTGCCGATAACAACATTTTCTAAAGAAATCGTTGCCGATAACAACATTTTCTATAAAAATCGTTGTCGATAACAACATTTTCTATGGAAATCATTGTCGATAACAAGATTTTTTATAAAAAAAAGTTATCGATAACAACATTTTCTATAGATATCGTTGTCGATAACAACATTTTTCATAGAAACCGTTGTCGATAACAACAATTTCAATAGAAACAGTTGTCGATAACATCATTTTCTACAGAAAATTTTACCGATAACTATGATTTGAAAACCCATTAAAATATTTTCTCCTTTGTTTACTACCTTAACCTCACTTTCTGCGGAAAAGAAATCCATAACCACGCGTTCTTCTCCTCTCTCATCTACTTCATTTTATTCGACGACTTCACGCTCTGTTCCGGTTGATCCCAAAAATCATACCATGGCCCATAGGTTTTACCGTAGTGTTTATCCATACCACCACTACCACTCGCTGCCGCCGATCTCTCACTGTTGAGCAGGGCCTTTTGGGCAGCACTGCTCGTCGAATTGCGTTCCAATGTCATGCTGGACATGTTCGATGATTTCATGAGTCGGGTGCGTGGCAATATTGTGGCTGTGGGTGTGGACAGGGCCGACTGGGATTGATGTCGCCGCAAAGTGCTATCGTCATATTGACGCATTTGATTTTCCTGTTGACTCTCCTGTTGCTGTTGTTGTTGATATTGTTTCGATGAACGTTGATGCCGTTCGGCATCTCTTTCGCGTTCTGATTGTCTTTCTGATTTCTTTTTCGAGGTGCCGTTATTTGACATTTGATTTCCCGACGCCGTGGCCGAGGAAGATGTGGTGGTGGCTCTGAACGTTTGAAATTCCATTTGATGTTCCTGCTGTAGGGCGGCATGCATGGCTCGACGCTGCTTTTCATCGCGACGCACCAGATGATCGTTGATGACAATGCAATCATAGGGATCGGAACTGGTTGACTTTATTTCCGGATCATCGGAATCATCTTCACTGGTGTAGTATTGCTTGAGTATGTCTTTGCGTTTAACGGTTTTCATAATAATGCCGCCGCCACCACCAACGCCGACGCCCATAGAGTTGCCATTGTTGTCGAAAAAGTTATTGACATCACTCATCTTCAAGGTACCGTTATCCAATTCACTCTCTCCCGCCTCACTCTCGGTGGAATGAAACATGTCCTGTTGATTGTTGTTGTTGCGATTCTGACTGGATGAATTGGCCGACTTGTTTTGTTGACCATTTCCAGTGATTTTATTCTTGGCGTTGCCACCCGTTCCCATGGAATTGCGATTATTCATGGTATTTTGTTGTTTCTGTTTTGACGATTCATTCATGGATTGGCGATTATTCATCGATTCACGATATTCCTTTTGATTTCGTTTTATGGTACTGAGCCGTTCATTTTCTCCCGGATTTTCAATGTCAATTTCAATGGTTTTCATAATTTTCATTCTTGACTTGGGCGTAAAGTTGTTATTCACCACACTACGATTTAGCATGGGCTCCCTAACCATGGGCGTAAGACCATAGATGTTTTCATCGTCATCATACATCTCCATGCTGGTAATACTCTCTTTGCGTACCCTACCAGCTGCCTTCTCATGGGAGGAGCTATTTGAGGGATTCGAATTGTTTTTTGTCAGAGTCAGAGTGCCATCATTGTTGTCCATTTCCTTTTCACTTTCCATTTTACTGCTGGTGGTGCGATAACCCTCATCGCGTAACTCATCAACATTGGGTGTGGCCACCAAATCACGATGTTGCCACAGTGACATGCCAGCCAAAATATCCTCGTGGCGTCCTCCACCGAATTTCCAAAAAGATTTTGTGCGTTTTATGCCACCCGAAGAGGCCTGCAAGATTTCATCGTCACTTGCAATTAAATCGTAGCGCATTTTTCCCATCGAATTGCGATTCAGGGTCTTCAAACTGCGATCATCGATTTGACTATCAATGCTGCTGCGGAAATTGCGATTCAAAGTCCAAGAGGCCACCTCACGATTAGTCGAAATGTGTGAGTTTGTGTCGGCGCGACGTCTAACGGATTTTTGGGTTTCATTTAGGGGTTAGCAGGGATATGTGAAGTTGGTTGTTTTTTTGAGATTATGTTACGATACAACACAAAAAAGGATGAGGCGATAATGAACATAAAAAGAAATAAAAACACAAAAAAGAAAATAGCTCGTATTAAAAACATAAGCAAAAGAAAATAAAATTAAAGGAAAATATTAAAAAATATTTTGTTAATTACAAAAATAATGCAAATGAAAAGTAATGTTAAAAACCGGGGTTAAATACTGAAATAAAGAAGAACACAGGGTAGAAGAGGCCATCTTTAAAATATTTAATCGATAACTATTTTTTAAAGATCTAAATCAACAAAGATTTTCGGATAGAATGCTATCGATATCAACTCCTTCAAATGGAAATGTGATCAAAATTGGTGTCGATAACAACATTTTCTATTGAAATTGGTGTCGATAACAACATTTTCTATTGAAATTGTTGTCGATAACAATATTTTCTATAGAAATTGTTGTCGATAACAATATTTTCTATAGAAATTGTTGTCGATAACAATATTTTCTATAGAAATTGTTGTCGATAACAATATTTTCTATAGAAATTGTTGTCGATAACAAAATTTTCTCTAAAAATGTTTGTCGATAACAACATTTTATATTGAAAATGTGTTCGATAACAAAATTTTGTATAGAAACCATTGTCGATAACAATATTTTCTATATAAATTGTTGTCGATAAAACATTTCTCTAAAAATTTTTGTCGATAACAGCATTTTCTATCGAAAACGTTGTCGATAACAACATTTTCTATAGAAAAACTTGTCGATAACAAAATTTTCTATAAAAACATTGTCGATAACAAAATTTTATATAGAAATTGTTATCGATAACAACATTTTCTATAGAAAACGTTGTCGATAACAACATTTTCTATAGAAAACGTTGTCGATAACAACATTTTCTATAGAAAACGTTGTCGATAACAACATTTTCTATAGAAAACGTTGTCGATAACAACATTTTCTATAGAAAACGTTGTCGATAACAACATTTTCTATAGAAAACGTTGTCGATAACAACATTTTCTATAGAAACCGTTGTCGATAACAACATTTTCTATAGAAACCGTAGTCGATAACAACATTTTCTATAGAAACCGTAGTCGATAACAACATTTTCTATAGAAACCGTTGTCGATAACAACATTTTCTATAGAAACCGTTGTCGATAACAACATTTTCTATAGAAACCGTAGTCGATAAAAATATTTTCTATAGGAACCGTTGTCGATAACAGAATTGTCTGTAGAAATTATTGTCGATAACAATATTTTCTATAGAAACCGTTGTCGATAATAACATTTCTATAGAAACATTTGTCGATAAGAACATTTTCTATCGAAATTATTGTCGATAACAACATTTTATCTAACGATAACAACATTTTCTATAGAAATCTATAACAATATTTTTTTATCGAAGGTGTTGTCGATAACAACAATTTCTATAAAAATTGTTATCGATAACAACATTTTCTATAGAATAGTTGTTCGATAATAACATTTTCTATAGAAACCGTTATCGATAACAACCTTTTCTATAGAAATTGTTGTCGACAACAACATTTTCTATTGAAAAGTTGTTCGATAATAACTTTTTCTATAGAAAACGTTGTCGATAACAACATTTTTGTTATAGAAGCCTTTTCGATAACAACATTTTTTATAGAAATCGTTTTCGATAACAACATATTCTCTAGAAAATATCATCGATAATTAAATTTTCGATAATAGTAGTCGGATCTATGGCTTTTAAATAATTATCTTTCATTTATTTTTAAAGAGTCCTCTTCTACCCCTCAAATTTTTTAGCAATACTATTTCCCAAAAATTTGCTCTTTATACCACCCTCACTCTCAACCTACCGTATGGGTACTCGACTAGTTGGCTGATCATCATCGGAATAATCCACTTCCGGCTGTGGTGGTGGCTCATTGGCAAAGCCACTGTCATTGCTGCTGTGCAGGGATGTTTTGGCAGCAGCAGCTGGTTTCATTTGATTCATGGATGATTGCTGGGAGAAATTTTACGAAAATCAGTAAAGTTATATGAGAAGAGGCCTTGAGAGGCCCTTGGCTGGCACTTACATGATTCATTTGATTGCCGTTTTGTAATTTCTGTTTGCGTCTCTCAATGGCCATCTGGCTGCCATTGGGAGCACAAAAACTTTGTGATGAATTCAGCATGCGACCGCCATTCGAGGCCGAGGGTACGGGGGCGGGCAGTGTGGGTGGTGGCCCGGGACGGGGATTGCCGGCTGCCGAGGGGCGATACTGGAAAATGGGAAATAATGAAAATCTTTAAAATTTAAAGAAATTGTCGTAACTCACCTTCTTCTGATTCCTGTAGGTATCACCAAACATTCGAGTCGGTGATGATTCCTCGGCCCGCTCGGGACGACGATAGGTGGCATCACTGTCCATTTCCTGTTGCGAATCCATGCCATACGATTCGTGATAACTATTGCGCAATGATTGGGCGCCATTGCCACCACCACCATGACGTTCGTAGTGCATATTCTCAAAACGTTCTGACCGACCGCCATGCTGTTGATCTCGGTCCATTTTCATTTTGCTCTCCAACATCAGTTCGGCATTCGTGTAGGCTATGGGGAACCAACCGAACATTTGGGTACGCAAATTCTCACCGAATTGCCAACCTTTGGCCTTGCTTCCCACCAGGGCAATGCGATCGCCTTCTTCGAAGGGTAATTGATTCTCACCCGAGGGCATGTAGGCATAGAGGGCCTTGACCACAGTACGCTGGTCCCAGTGGCCATTGTCGGTGTGGTCATTACCTGAAGAAAAAAATGAAAAATTAAATCTCTGATCTGATCTGAACAACATATCCATATACCCTGCATATTGGCACTGCCACCATTCGAATTGGCCGAACTGTTCAAATTGAAATCGGATTTGGCACGTGGCAAAGAGTTCTGTGTGAACGGTACGTGAGTCTCGTGCAAACTGCGCATATCTCCGAACGGAGCATCAACACTGCGTGACTTCTTCAATAAATTCGATGACGAGCCATTGGCATGGGAATCTTCGGCATCCTTAAGACGTTCCTAAACCATAATTGGCTGAT